TAATACTGAAGTAATACCCATCTTCAGATATTCAGTATCAGTAGTAAATTGGAATGTAACTGACCTAGATAAAATGGATTTGGAGATAAGAAAATATTTAAGAAAGGCAAAATACATTGGTGCCGGTAACTCCAAAGACCGTCTATATGTCAATATAAATGAAATGGGTGAAGGATTAATAAGCCTAAGGGACGAATATGTTATTGAATTAATTAGAACAGTAATGTGCTATTGTACAAGAGAGAGTGAAATAAGAAATAACATAATAGATAAATGGTATTCCAAGAAAGGAATATGGAATAGAATTAAAAAAGCACTAAGTCATAAGATCCCAGAAACGAAAATAGAAGAAATAATAAATGAAGGGATTGAAAATAAAAAAGAAAAAGAAGTAGTAGTAAAAATAAAGAAAATAATGACCAACAAATACATCAAAAAATGGAAATTAATCAAGTGGATATTTTAGAAGATGGTTCGAGTCAAAATTTGTAGATAAAACTACTACAATCAATGCATGGAAGTCCATCAATATTAAGAAAAATTCATTTCTCCAATTAACTAAAATGCAGGATGGAGCAATATTTAGTGGGTACAGGAAAGATAAAATATTAAAAAATGAAAGATTGAAGTACTGCCCACTTTGTAAATACAAGATATCCACAGTAGAACACATTCTACTATCTTGTATTTGTCATAAGAAATCACAAATTGAGAAACATGACCATATTGGCATCATCATATGGGAGGGGTTAATAAGAAAATACACATGAAATAAACAATACAAGAAATCCCCATATGAAACAGTGTTCCAATACAACGACATTACTATGATATGGAACAAACAAATAATGCCAAAAAGTGATGGACTATATCATAAAAGACCAGATATATATGTACTAGATAAAAAGAATAAAACTGGTCTAATATTTGATATGACTATTGTGGCAGATCATAATATTAATGGAGCCTATTGGAAGAAAAGAAATATGTATAAGGAATTAAAAAATAGGTTAATGAAAATAGAGAAATTAAAGGATGTCAAAATAATTCCAGTAGTAATTTGGATTAATGGGCTAGTAAATGCGGAAAGCATTAAAATAATTAAAGAATTAAAAATCGAAATTGACATCATTAAAGAAATCAAAAACCTTGTAATTAAAAACATGATGGACGTCATGGAACATTGTGGAGATCACAACTAAACATATGTAGTTGAACTACATGACGAAGAATTAGGGAGGGGATTAGTCTCCGGTGAGGCAGGAACAATAGACACAAGTTCTATTAATACTTAATTAACTACTTTTTATTTAATTATTTATTATTAGAATATATTTTCTATTATTTTTAACTCTTTTTTTTTCTTGATACAAAATGATAAATCTTATCTAATGACTATTTCATTTATATTTTGTATCTTTTGTAATATTATGATTAATACATCATCATTAAATAAATATTATGATACATCCCTTTTTTTATTTATTATTTAATTTCTCTTCTAATATTTTAACAATTCTTCTTATATTTTCAATCAATATTTAATGTTCACTTGTGTCTTATTTAAATATAAATTTAATGTCATTCCACAGTTCATTTATTTAGTTATTTTTTGGCTTATTTTTCAATTTGTTGAGTTATTTAGCAGTAAGAAATAAGAGAAGAGTGTTGGTAATGATGTAAATTGTTAAATGAGAAATGAATAATTCAAGAAATCATTAAATGATTGAGAGAGGAGTGTTGAATGAAAAGTAAAGAAGAAAGAATGTGAGGAAACAAGAAAACAATAAGAAAGAATAAAGAGAAAAGAAGAAAAGATAAAAATTTAAGGGTTTTGAGAAAATTACAAAGAATTTATAAAATGAAAGAAAAAAAAAAAAAGAAAATGAAAGAGTTTTTAAAAGAATAATAAAATAAAGAAATGAGAGAAAGAATGAAAAATGAAGAGAAAAAAGGAAATGAACTAAAAAAATAAGAGATAAAAAATCTATGAGTAGAGTGTGTTATTTCTATGATCAAAATGTAGGAGAATTTGATTATGGATTTGGACATCCAATGAAACCATTAAGAAATAAATTAGTACATCATTTAATTATGGAATATGGAATATATAAACGATTAAATATTTATGTTTGGATTTTTAATAAAAGAAATAAAAGAAATAAAAAATAATAAAATAGAAACCATGGAGAGCAACAAATGAACAAATGGAAATGTTTCATTCTAAAGAATATATTGATTTTTTACAAAGAGTTACACCAGAAATGGCATTACAACCTCATTTTAAAAAATCATTAGAAGAATTTAATTTTACAGATGATTGTCCAGTTTTTGAAGGATTATATCCATTTGTTCAAACAGTTGTAGGAAGTTCATTAGGATGTGCTATGAAAATTAATGAAAGAGCAGCAGATATTTGTGTAAATTGGTCAGGAGGATTACATCATGCAAAAAAATCACAAGCATCAGGATTTTGTTATATTAATGATATTGTATGTGCTATATTAGAATTACTTAAAGTTCATTCAAGAGTACTTTATATTGATATTGATCATCATCATGGAGATGGAGTTGAAGAAGCATTTAAAGCAACAAATAGAGTAATGACATTTTCATTACATAAATATGGAGATAATTATTTTCCAGGAACAGGAGATGTAGATGAAATTGGAATTGATGAAGGAAAAAATTATAGTATTAATGTACCATTAAAAGATGGAATTAATGATGAAGGGTATCATAGATTATTTTATCCAATAATAGATAGAATTATGGAAGTATTTCAACCAAGTGTAGTTGTAATGCAATGTGGAGCAGATAGTTTAAATGGAGATAGATTAGGATTTTTTAATTTATCAATTCAAGGACATTGTGATTGTATGAAATATGTTAAAAAATTTGGACTTCCAATGATTCTTGTTGGAGGTGGTGGATATACAGTATCTAATACTGCAAGATGTTGGTGTTATGAAACAGCAGCAGCTTGTGATTTAAATATTCCTGATCAAATTCCAATTAATGATTATTTAGAATATTATGTTCCTGATATGAAAATAACTATTTCTACTAATCCACAAATGAAAAATTGTAATAGTAGAAATTATATTGAAGATATATTAAATAAAGTAATGATAATCCTTGAAGATGTTGGAAATTCTAATTTACCTATTGTTCAATTTACTAATCCTCCTCGTATTGATGAACATACAATAGAAATGCAAATAGATGAAGATCAACAAGATTTTAATGATGTTTCTAATGGTTTTATTAGAGATATCCCATTAAATATAGATTCTGATGAAGTAATAAAAATGTACACTGAACCATTACCAATTTATCCTAAAAGTAAATTATTTTGTACTCAAAATTTAAAAGAATTTGAATAAAGAAGAAAATCGTTGTGTAAAGATTTTATGACATAATAAATTGATTTTTGGTTTTTTTTTTGTTATTTTTATAATTAGAAAAAAAAAAAACAACAAAATAAAAATATTTCAATAAATTTAATTTAAACTTAATAAAAAGAACTTAATAAATATTCGTATCAATGAATTATCAAGATATTGAAAATATGCAAAATGCTCTTTATAAACTTTGTATTGATTGGTATGACTCATCTCCAATTAAAGAAGATATTGTATTTTCTACACATTCAATGTTTATTGCATTTTCATTACTTTATATCGGTGCTGCTTCTGAAACAAAAACACAACTAGAAAAGGTGTTTGGATTTGCTTCTATTCCAGAAAGTAATTTTATAAAATTTTTACAAAGCATTATTAAACATCAAGAACCAACATCAAGTGTTACTGTTGATATAGTCAATGGGATTTGGGCATCAGAAAATTTAGAATTTACTGAAGAATATAAAAAAGCAATAAATACACTTAATTGTCAATTAAAAAATGGAAATTTTATGACTAATGCAGAAAATATTAGACAAGAAATTAATAAATTTGTTGAAGAAGCAACAAGAAAAGTAATTATTGAATTTCTTCAACCAGGAACAATTAGTGGAGATACAATTGCTGTTATTGTTAATGCTATTTATTTTAAAGGAGAATGGAAAACACCATTTAAAATTCTTCCAAAGAAAATGAAATTTGAAGGAGATGAAGAAGTTATAGGAATGAAAGAGCGTTTTGAATGTCCAGCAGTATTTACAGATAAATATACATCAGTTAATATTCCATATGTTGGAAATAAATATTCTATGGTAATTATTATGCCAAATAATATGAAAGAATTTGAAAAAGAAAATATAAGAGAATTAAAAGAATATGTAAGAAGAACAATTCAAGAGTTTTCAGAAAAAAGAAACGTTACTATTCCAAAATTTAAAATTGAAACATCATTTAGTATGAACCAACAATTAAAAAGTCTTGGATTAATTAATGCTTTTAATGAAAGTGCAGATTTCAGTAAAATGGCAAAAGGACATTTTTGTGTTTCAGAAGCTATTCATAAAGCTGTTGTTGAAGTTGATGAAAAAGGAACAGTTGCTGCTGCTGCAACAGGAATTGCAATGATGAGACTTTGTTTACCATTAGAACCACCAAGAGATGTTATTATTAATAAACCATATTTCTTTATAATCACTGGAGAAGAACAATATCCATTATTCTTTGGAAAGGTAAGTCATCCAAGATTTGAATAAGATGTTATACATCACATTAATTAAAAAAATTTTTAATAAAAAAAATTTAGTTTGTTTTAGATAGTTTTTAAGATATGAGAAGAAAAAAGAACTTAAAAAAATAAAAGAAAAATAACCCTTAAATGACTGATTACTTTGAATTATTAAGTGCTGAAACATATGAAGAATATTTAAAACTGGTTAACGTAGAAGTTCATCAAAATATTTCTATGTGTCAAAATATTGCTAAAGAATATCAAAAATTAAAGATTGCGTCAGAAAAAGAAAAACATGAATCACAAATTAAATTAAATGAATCAGCTAAACCATATTATGAACGTAGAAAAGCTATTATTATGGGAGCACCATTAACTGATGAAGAGATACAAGGATATCAAATAAATAGTGAATGTCCACCAAATGAAACATCAGAATATCAAAATGGAATACCATGTTTTTGGCTTCATGTATTAAAAAATTCAGGAATTTTTGATGGATTATCAGGAAATGAAGAAGATTCAATCATATTAACTTATCTTCAAGATATTAATGCAGATTATTTTCCAACAGAAGATTGTACATTAAAAGATGGAACACCATCATTACTTTTTAAATATAATGTAAATTTCATATTGGAAATAATCCATATTTAAGAAATAATCAAATATCAATTCAAATTACATATAAATTAGGAGATATTGAAGGAGAATTTGAAGAACCAAAAATTAATACAACTACACCACTTGACTGGGTTAAAGGAAAAGACCCTCGATTTAAAATTACACGAAAAAAAACAAATAAAAAAGGAAGAAATCAACAAGAAACAAAAGTTGAATCATTTTTTGATTTATTTTATCCACAAGAATTAGTATTAAATAATGACATTAATGATGATGGATTAATTGATGAAGAGGCATTACCTATTCATGACATGTTCCAAGCATTACTTACATTAATTAATGAAGTAATTCCAGCTGCTGTAAATTATTTCGATGAAACATTATTAAATGATGAAGGAGAAGACCTTGATGAAGATGAAGATGCTTATGATGAAAAACCATTAAAACAAATTATCGATGGAAAACCAACACAAGATGATTCTAATACACAACCAGCACCTCAAGAATGTACTCAACAATAATTTTACTAATTTAGTATTTTCTTTTTTTTTTATTGTTTAACTATTTTTTTTATTATTTTCTTTTCTTTATTAAATAAAAGAATTTATTTAAAGATTCTATTTCATCTTTTATTATATTTCTTTATTCTATTTAAATCTCTTTCATTTAATTCGTTTCTTTCTTCATTTAAACTGTTAGAAATTCATTGTATTAGTTGTCGATATTCATAAATATATTTGGATATAATTGGTTCCGTATTACACTATTTATTATTATTATTTGTTTTTTAAAACAACAATGATAATTATCAAAACGATTATCGTTTTGGTATCAATTGTTTTTTAAACTTCTCATTTAAAACAGAATACTCAAAATAATAAAACTTTACATTTAAATAAGGTGTAGTCAATTTCATGTTTTGTCTCAGAATATAAAAAAGAACATATAAAAAGATAGGTTCTTAAAATTATTTAAAGGTTAATAAAAGAGAGTTAACAAATTTAAACTTTGTATTTATTATTATTTTTCAAAAAAATAAGAAGAAAACAATAAAATAATTTTTAAATGATAATTTATTTTAATTGGTCAATAATCATACTTATTTGTTCTAAAGGAGTGTCTTCATTTATTAATATTTCATTTTCATTATTTCGTATAATATAATTATTTAATGTATTAATCTCATTAATAGAATTTTCCATAACTCTTATTTCGTTGAGACGGGCTTCTTCAGTAAGTGTCTCTTCAAAGGCATTCCAAAGTAATTCTTCTTCATGGTTAATAACTTCACTTCTAAGATACTCATTTCCTACTTGTTCATTTGGGACTCTTCGAGAATATTCATTCTGTCGTTGAGAAAATTCATTTTCCATTACTGAAGCTGTATGGTTAAGATAGTCTGCAAGAGTTCTCATAAGAGAAGTAACTTGATTAAAGGTATTTGAACTTAAAACAATTCTTGGATTGTTTAATAAGTTGATAAATGCATTAAAGACTGTTTGAGTCCTTGAAAGATTTTGAGAAGTAACATTTAACCAAGACTGAACAAATGCCATTGCTGTATTATACTCAACATCATAACGTTCTTCATAATGTTCTTGTTGAGATCTTCTAATCACCGTTCTAAATATTTCATTATTTAAAAGTTGATTAAGGTTTTGACGTGGTTGTGTGTCGTGACGTTGTACGTTCATTTGAGTTCTGTTTGGTGTTTGTTGAACTCGGGTTGATACTTGAGTTCCTGGAACTGATGTGTGAGTAGAAGATTGTCGTTGAACCTGAAAAGTTCTTGTTGTAGGTTGACCGTTTTGGTTGGAACGGATTGAGATTCTAAAATTGAGAGGACGACCATTGGTTTGAAGTGCTTCAAGAACTTCTGCATTTTGATTAATCAGATTTTCGATGAATGGAATGAGTAAATCTCCACTTTGTGATAATTCAGCAAATTCAGGTAAGATTTGAGAAATCATATTTGTACGAGGTGTTGGACATACATACAATAACGTATCATTTTCAAAGTTATAATAAGATAATGGTCGATTTGTTTCTAAGATAATATTTTGATATGAAAGCCCAAATGTTGGGTGAGGGTCCATCTTATGAATTAACTCATCAACAGTCATTTGAGGAGAAACTTCATAACTACTTTGAGTTCTATTTCTAATATCACGAATAATAATTCGTTGAAGTGACATTGTTATTAAAATTTTAAGTATTTTTCATATTTTTGATTTTTATAAATAATTAATTAAATAATAAAATTAATAACAAAAAACTTCATAATAAAAGTGTATTATATAACATTATTTATAATATTGAGGAATTCACATTAAAGAGACAGAATCTGAGGATTGATCAGAACAATGAAAATCGATCTCTTCACCACTCCAAAGGTCATCATCACTATCACCAAAATACGGATTAAGAAATAAGAGGTTACTAATATTTGAGATACGTTCATTTTCAAAATCGTCAGGAATGATAATCTCTTCACAGTCCACATAAGGAATATCTTCAACCTCTTCAGTTGGGAAAGGAACAAAAGAGTTTTTATTGCAAACTTCAATTCTTTTGATCATTGGAGTATTGTGTTTGATTGAAAGGATAGTGTTTGTGTTTTCTTTTTGAACAAACGCTTTTCTCATGGTTTGAAAGATTGATTTTTTTAAGTTCTGAAATATTTTGCACAATGAAAACGTTTTTATTTTAGTTTTGTGTTATCAATAAATCTAAAAAAATAATAGGAACTTAAAAATAAATAATGAATTCCAAAGAGCAGAGTGAATTAATTCAACGACAAAGACAAGAGATTGCTGTTATTAGGGAAGAAGTTGACAATAAATTAGATAACCTTCAGGAATCACTTAAAGTTAATGAAAAGACATTTTTAGAAATGATGGTTCTTGAAGGGAATAGTAAATTAAGAATAGTAGAGACTATAAAACAAAGTATCCCACAAACTGAAGATACTGTAATTGCAACAAATCAATTAGAAGAATTGTTACAAGGATTTCTTCAAATGCATAAAGACGGAAGTTCTAAAATTGAACAAATTTTAGAAGGAGTTGTTAACGATTTTAACAGAATCAAAACTGATATGTTAATCAGTATCGATGTCTCATTAAGAAGCATGGAAAAACGATTAAAAAAATATGAAGAACAATTCAAAGAAATAGAAAGGTTCCAAAAGTCACTTGGTAGTTTTAGTCCTAAAGAAGTTACAATTGAATTTATTGATGGAGAAGAAACTATTGATGAAAACGTCATACAAAGTGGTCGTTGTCAAAATAGTTTTTTTGCTAAATATATAGCTTTTAAACAAGAACCCAAGGGGGATGATTTAGATGAAATAAAAGAGCAAAACGAAGAATCTCAAAATGAAGAAAAGACAGTTACTGAAGAGATTGAATCAGATAAAACAGAAAAGAAGAAAATTAGAATAAATAGAAGTAAGGAACTTTTCAAATATGTGTTAATGTATCTAACTAAAGGTGAAATTATTTGTAATGATAAAAGTCTTAATGAAATTCAAGCCATTGTCAATGAGTTAATGGAGTATGGAATTAATTCTGATGACATTTATGATTCAATGAAAAAATGTGTTAATGCATTTATATTAAGTCATAATGAATTAACTATTAAAGAAATATGCACGTCCATCAATCTTCAAGACTATGAACAACTCTTTATTCTTCAAAAATCAAGTTTGGATTGTGGAGAATTTGAGAAAAAAATATTTGAATTAATACTATCGAAACAAACAATCAAATCAGCACAAGAAATAATAAACGACATGATTTTCAATGGAGGTGTTCATATTGAAAAGATACATAAAAAGGAATTGATTGATTTTATTGTTTCTTCTTTACCAAAACGAGGTTCTATTAAATTTAAGGTTTCAAATGGAAATATGTTAGTTTCAGGTTCAACAATTACTAATAAATTACATAAACAGTTCAATACTGCAATGATTCCTGAACAAGTTTCAGCATACACAGCTAGAGTTGCTGCACCAGGAAAATCAGGAATTTGTAATGCTATGTATATTGGATTCACCTATGCCACTCCAGACACTATTCCAGTAGGGCAGCAATGGGTTAAAATGGGATATTATATGTCTATTTATAATGGAAATTTATATTCTGAAAAAATAAATCCAAACACTCCTAACCATCAATACTACAATTCTGAAATTACAATGGAAGATTCTATTGTTTGTTGGTATTCAAAGGAAGACAAAGCTATTGGATTTATCATTAATGGTGTTTTGTTAAAACCTGCTTTCATTGGAATAACTCAAACCGAGTTATATCCAATCGTTGTAATGTATGAAGCTGATCAATCATTTATTCTTGACAGCTTTATCCCTCTTAAATGAATTTCTCATTAAATTTTGGTTATTTACAACTCATTAAATAAAATAAGTTTATGAATAAACATCTAAATTTAGTTAATTATTAGCAAAGTTTATGTATGAGAATCGTTATTCTAAGAAGATTAACTATATCTAATTTTTCTCTCTTCAGTTATGTTTATTTTTATTTATGATAAAATAACATGACGACAATCTAATTTTTATTCTATACTTTTAAATTCTTTTATCAATCATTTTTAATCAACTGAAAAGTGCGATTTTT